CCTGAGCCGCCGGGGACGCCCCGCCGCGGCCGAGCGGCCCGGGAGCCTGCGGCTTTGCTGGCGGGCCCGCGGGGCGCACGGTAAGGGAAGCGAGTCTCCCGGGTGGCTCCCACCCCGCTCTGCGTCCTCGGGACTGCACCGCCGCCTGCTCCTCGGCTGCTATCCGTGGTACAGGCCCTTGCTACCTTCTCTGCGGATTCACCCCGGAACGCGCCTCCCGACCGCAGCCCAGCGGCAGAGGGGGCTGGGGCTGCTGTAGCACCGAACCGCCCGCGGGCTCCTACCTAGCCCCGCGACGGCCCCAGAGCTCAGCATTACTCACTTTGGTCAAGCCCGGTTTCGCGCAGGGTTAATGAGCAGTGGCTCATGAAGGCTCTGATCAGCCTGAAAAGCCACGGCTTAGAGAAGAGAGCGAGCACCTGGGGCTCCTGCCCGGTCCCGCGAGTGGAGAAGGACAGCGAGGCCTCAGCCCCAGGTGGCCCCGTAATCCGCCTCCTCCTGCTCTGGCACAGACTGTGCCAGGGCAGCAGCTACCGGAAGCGAGGCTGCAGGCAGGCAGAAGGGACAAGGTACGACTTAAAAAAAAAAATAAAAAAATAAAACCACAGAAAACCCCAAAATCACAACTCACTCCCTTATCCCCCAGAAAATAATAATAAAAAAAGAGTCCCTCGTCTTATTTCAGTCTCTAACTGTAAATAGGGGAAGAGTGAAGGAGGGGAAAGGCAAACCAGCAAGCACAATACCCTCCTTTACTGCATAGAGGATGTTTATTACTTTGTGCAATATAGATGTTTTTAATTATTAGTTCTGCACTCTCAGGGAGCCAAGGAAAAAACCCTGTCCCATCATTGTACAAATACATCGAATTTGAACTGATTTTTGCATTAGCTCATTTTCCTGCACAGCATTAATCTTCCTCATAACTTAGTGACTGGTTTTCTCATTCCCACTTTGAGAGAGCACTCCCAGATCCTAACAAACAAAACAAAAGAAACTGCTCTGTGGAGCTCTGACCACAAAAAAAATTGAGGCCTTTGGGATAACTACTTTTAAATCAATGCTTTTGATTACATGCAGTAAATTTTAGAGATTTCATGCACTGTATTTATGGAAACATGGATGGTATTTAGTCTTTATTAAAATTATTACTTATTAATAAACAAGAGTAGATTTCTCCATGTCTCCTCTTTTTATCTTATGGCTGGGAGGACATGATCAAAACACTTGAATTTTTTGACACAAACAATTTGTAACTATAAATAAAGACACACTCATGAGTGAAATCAGGAAGCCTGCTGAACAGAGGAGAACAGTTGTCAAGAAGTGACACTATGCCCAGGCACCTCCATGATCTATCTCCCCCACCCCAGCCTCAGAAATCCTGTTATCTCTGTGAGGATGCAGGAATACCACTCCAAGCATGGGGTTCTCTACAGGCAGGCTGTAGAGAACCAGCTGACCACTGCTGCCACGTCATATCTGCTCCAGGAGCTGGCTCTGGCTGTTCTGACACAAACCACCTGGGCTGGGATGCCATAAGCAGCTGGAAGGCCCACAGGCAGGCTGGTGCCACCAGGTCATTTGGTAACTCATGCAAAAGCAGAGCTCCAGGGACCTGGGAAAACTGCAGCACCTCCAGACCTTGGGCAGCAGCTGCAGTGCAAGGTGTTGTAATCTGGGACTCAGAACCTTGCTTAAGGTGCAGGATGTTTTTCAGGTGCTTTTGCTCCCTTCTGTTTATGTCCCCAGTGCAAAGGAGGCAGGCTCCTCTCAACACTCTAACCTCCAATTAACTCTAACATGAGTAAGTACCTCGATCCCCTGTGCCAGGGAAGCATCTTACCAAGGCACCAACATTGTTCTCCCTCAACTCCACCTCATTATCTGGTTTAGCAGGGGCCCTCTGTGGGGACATGCCACCTTGTGCCTCTGGGATAACAGCATGGCCCTCTCCTGCTTTCTCTCTGTAGTACTGCTGCAGCCATGGGTTGCCAGATCATTATGGATTTCTGGCTTGTATCACAGCTTACTCTCCAGGTCTGCTTAAGAGGCAAACCTTCCTCTGCCTGTTGCTCTTCCTTTATTTGCAGTTGCAAGTGGTGGGAGGGAAGCCTGTCAGTCCCCGAAGCTACTGGAAAGCTTAGAGCACCTCACCGTGTGCCACCCTCCAATAATGATTTCTGCTGAAGGAAACCTGTCACAGGCTGTTCTCTTCAGGGGAAGATCTTCCACAGGGAAAGAGGTGTGTGTATGGGGGGGAAGCTCAACTTTCTAAGTACTTAAGTGTCCTGTGCATGGCTAAAAGCACATTTAGAGGCTTATTTCAACCTCCTGCTCCCACCAGCACAATGACCATCTGTGTTCCATCCCGTACCTTTTCTTCAATGAGGCTATGGAATATGGGCAGGCAGGGGTTTGCAGGGATTGCTTCAGGTCTGTTCTGTCTACTTACTTGCCCAAAAATGCAATCTCACATTAAAAAATAAATTAAAAATACAATTGTCATGGAGAGGTGTGTAAAATGATTCCTCTATAAAGCAGGTGCAGGAATTTTTGGTAGCTGAGGGGAATGGAGACAGAAGGAGGTACCCAACCCCTTGACAAACACTAACCTACCACTCTCCCTCAAGCAACCCATATTCTGGCAGCATTTCAACAGGCCCCAGTTTCATGACTTGTTAGAACAACTGAAAAAGAAGCCTCCCAAAGAGAACACCAAAGGGTGGCAGAAAGGGTAAAGGATTGGGCTGTGCATAATTTCCATGGCTTACCAGACTGGCAGCTCATATCACCAGTCTGAGGGAGGACACAGAAATGGGACATCAACATATGCACAGAGATAAAACTAACATTGAACTAGTTTGGGGCTTGTTTTTTTTGGAACATGTGTTCACCCATGTTGAACATGCTTGAACATGGTTCAAGCCATGGTTCCCAAGGTTGAGGAGTTAAGAAGCTTTCCATGATCGCTTCACCCCAGAGCTCTTGGGGAAAGGAAAGAAACTGTACCTTAAACTGTTGGAGCAAAAAGGTTGGTCTTTCCTGGCACATCTACCCTCAGCTGAGCTGGGATTTTGCAAAGCATTTCTTCTAGTCTATTTGTATTTTCTGTTGTTATAAGAGAGTCCCATTCTTCCTGCCAGAAACCAAAAGCCTTATTTGGAAAGCAACCCAAGTTATGTTCCAAAGAGTATGTGCTGTGATTTTATTTCCTGTTAAATATAACTCCAGATTTCTAAAACGGTACAAATAAGCACCCTTTTAGTACTCTGGGTGCTTATCCCACACACTCAAGTCAGAGAACACCACAAAAGAGCTACCCCCTGAACGCATCCGTTACAGCACATCCTTTGCCAGTGGCATTAAGAGTAAAGAGCTGGGGGCATACTTTGCATCACACTAGAAAAAGCAAGCAAAAGAGGATTCAGGGCACTTGTATGCCAGAGAGAACTGAGGTTCTCAGCCAAAGCAGGATACGTGTCTCAGCTCTACAGCTATCACTGTGGCTCACCAGGGGATCTTCCGACAGAACATTTGCATTTCTACAGAAAATCTCTGTTAAATTGAAATTATGAGTCAAACTATATAGACAGTTCTGTAATTGAATAAAAAAAGTTTCATCATAAGATATGACTGAACATGAGTCCATATTGCTTATGTCTCTGTGACTTTGAGACTGGTTTTTACTTATTTGCCATGAGGAAGAAAAGTTCCAGGGATGTGCAAATCAGACACCTATCTTCCTTATTATACATCAGTGCTGAGAAGAAATGATTCTGTAGGCTAAATTCTGCCCTTCATTAGGCTGAACCTAATGCAGCCCCACCATCTTCAGAGGCCCACTGTAAATACCCAATTAGAGAATTATAGAAAGAAAAATCTACCCAGGCCTAGACACTAATCCCAGCTCCAACCACTTAGTGATATTGTGAAGAAGGGAGGGTGGTGGAAGATGAGTGACTATGTGTGCTTGTCTCACACAGGATCTGGCTGGTATAAAATACAGGATAGCAAGTGGGTATAACACCATTTGCCCTTTCTCCTGGTAGCCTATGTGGTTTGAAGCAATGCTCTTGCAGGAACAGAAAAGCTGACTTGATATTGAAGGAAAGTAACAAACTTCAGCAGGGTTCTCAGGCAAATATGGGTCTTTAAAAGATTTATTTCCTGGGCATTCTGACAATAAAATTATGCAACCATTAGCTAGCAAAGAATATATACACTGCACTTCCTAGCCTATCACAGGGTGCTCTATAAGGGGCATTGCAGGATAAGTAGGAAGAACAGGAGCAACTTACTGGTGTGGACAGAGCTCTAGTATGAACAAGGAGCACCAGGCCTTCTAACTGCAGAGGGAAGAAAACCTGCTGGTTTTACAGGGACACTGTGAGAAAATGAGATTTAATGAAAAAAAACCAAAAAACAACCAAGGAAAAAAACCCCACCCAGCAAAGAGACTCAAGGTCTGCTCTTAGATTTGGTGAATTGACCAGCAAAATTCTCTTGGTTGCACACACAGCATCTTGATTTCCTCTGTGGACTCCACACCACCACAGCTCATTATTTGAAGTTGTTCAGGATGCTGTGATCCTCGGATGTCAGGTGCTCTGACAAAATAAATGCCTCTACAGAGAGGAGGAAGAAAAAAAATCAATGGACAGTTTATTGAAATCTATTCAAAAGCAAAGCAGAAGGAAGGCACAGAGGACCAGTCTGAGTCTGCCCTTCCACTTGCACTGTGAGAGAAATCTGATTGAACATAAACCTGGCTTTCAAGAAGTTGCAAAGGAGTAGAATTTTTAAAGAATATAAGCAAATTTCAGGTTCCTGGCCTTGGGAAGCCAATAAACATTTTCACAAGGAATAAATATGAGGGATAAATTAAAAAAAACCAAACAAACCTCTGTTTTGACTCAAGAATGGAAAAAGTGATTCAGAAAACAAAGATTCCAAATATATTGCCTGGAAAGTGGGAACAGCACAGAAATCACAGAAATTCAGAATATCTGGCAACACATGGAGGTCAGAGCCTCTGAGACCTCAAAGTAGGGTCAGACCAACATATTCAGGGCTTTCCTCACTCGGGTCTTGAAAACCTTCAGAGCTGCACAAACTTCCTGGGCAACCTATTCCAAGACCTGACTATGCTTAACATGAAAAAAGGTTTCTTACTTGCAGTTAGAACTTCAAATTTCAATGTTGGCTCCTTATGCTGATCTGAACTTGCTTTTTAGTTTAAATCACCACCTCACCATGTACTTATCGCTCCCAAGTGCTTTTGGAGTGGTGCTGCAGCACTGCTCACCATTCTACACTGCAGAAAAACAAAAATCTTCCACAATTAGCAAGCTGAGAGGCACTTCCCAAAGCCTCTTAATATCCCAGTTACCCAAGAAATGAAGATTTTGGAGATACTGCATGCACTATTTTCTTTCTGTTCTTCAAATGGAAACTTTCACTTCACTCTCCTTTGGCTACTGGGTTGAAGTTCTTTTGTTTACCTTTCAGTGTCTCCTGTTCTCTCTCCATTGGCCACTGCAACATAAAATGAACACGTGGCAATTTTTTTGAAGAAATGCTGCCAGCAACTCTCATGCACTATACATCACCTAGCTTGAAAAGGCAAGGGATTTGCAAGCCCTAAACTCAACTTTTTCCACATTAACTGTCATATATTGATAAAATGTAAAGTGAACTGTGTCCCTTAGCTCAAACCTGTCACCAGACCCACTAAGATCCTCCTCCAGGTACTCTTAAGCTGATGTTTTGCAGGGCAGAATTTAAGTACTTACAGCAGTTTATAAAGATGACAACAATCACTTCTTTTGAGATTGATTAGATAAATATATACATAAAATGAAGAAAATAAAAAGAAGTGTGGCAAACCAAATGAGAGCTCCGCACTGCCCCTTTTCAAGGGAGGAGCAGAAAAATTGCAACTTAAGCAAAAATGTAAACAGACATTTGGTTTTGTCCATTTTGTTTGGGTTACAGTTCTTTTTAATCTTGCTTACCTATTTTGATTTGACGTATTTTATAAAAAAACCTCAGCAAAATTGTTCAAAGCTCCTTGAAAGATTTTAAAGATTCCTCAGTTCATAATGTTTATTGGATAACGAAGACTCAAGAGAATGCCAGAGCTCCATTTTTATAAAGTTCTACATGCTCTGGTATGTTTTGCTCTGAATTCCAGTTTCCCAAGTCACATTGCTTCTTGATGCTAATTCTGTAAATTTTATTTTTCTTTGTTTCTATCTTTCAGATGCAATAAGCAGCTTGAAACTACAACCCAGATAAGTCAGCATTATTGTGACAAACAAAACACTTGAAAGAAGAAAAGCCTGAAACTTGCAGGGAGGCTAATGCTTTGTTTGGAGCAGGACAGAACTATTTAAAATTGAAAAAAACTCCACCTTCAGTTTGGCAACAATTCCTCTGAAAAAGCATTAAAGTAAATATCTGATTCCTACTGCTACTTTGGAAAAGCAATGCTAGGACCCTCACCATTTAAGCACTGCTTTCCCTTTGTCCTATTCATAGCACATGCAACAGGGGCTCAGCATATCCACAGACAAGCACTAATTCCTAATCTCTAGTAGGCCAAGCAAAAGGCCCTTCATGTATTAGACAGAATGACATCACAGTGATCTAAACTGACAATGAAAAACCCAGACAGTCTTCCCTTCCAAATTTGCAAGGCCACTCTAAGCCTGCTATGAAAGGAGAGAAAGAGATAGGGAGAACTCGGAGTAAAACTATTCCCCCTAATTGTTACAAATAATATTATTTTACGCTTAAAACCCCTTTTCATAACTGAATCATTTCCAGTTCTACCCTGCTCATCTTTGGGCTGAACTGGAACATAACATGAACCATTTTGGGTACAATTTTTTTGTCTTGATACCTCATGCTATGCAATCCTCCATCCATTTGGTTATTGTCTTTTGGACTAATAGAATGGACTAATAGAATCCTGAGCAAAATAAGTTTTCAAATAAAATAGAGGGGTAATGTTTCCTAAATTTGCAAGAACTTTAAACCTTCTGTAAATACTCACTGCTTGCTCTCATTTTACCCAAAGCTATGCTCCAGGCAACAGAACCATCTACTCAGGATTTTAATTTCATAAAACTTTTTATAAGAGCAAGTGTAAAAATTCACTTTTATGCTTCTTCAGTGCTACATAACCAGCTCTACTTTCAAGTAATAGTCATATCCCTACAACTTGCTATTCTCCAGACATTCCAAGGGTCCTTGTAAGACCAAACACCTAAATCCCTGCACCAAATGCTGAAGTATTCACTTTGAAAACATAGGCATATGCACTAACAGGTCAATCATAATATATTCCCATTCTCACTCTCACCCTGCCTGCTCTGGGAGCTGTTCTTTTCAGCTTTCCTTTCAATTGCTCCAGTCCAGGTTTACATTCAACTTTATCACTGACACAGAGATAACAGTAAATTGATTTTCTCCTGAGCAATGGAAACAGCTGGGGCCTGGTCTACAAACAGCACAAGCCTGCTCTTCTCCTTTGGAAAGGCAGAAGGAGTCAGGCAGTCCGCACCACCTCCAATGCCCACTGGAGACAAAAATGCCCCCCAGCTTCTGGGGCAAGCAGTAATAAGTCCACTGCAATCACTCCTGGCCTCCTGCACCACTGTGACTTTCCCTGGCTTTGCTTTTGTCCCTGCCAGTGGGGAAATCTTAACTCCGTCCCTTACTTCTTCCTTTTTATTAACTTGAGCCATGTACCACCCCATGCCTGAGGTCCCTGTTCTGCCCTAGGCTTTGTTTGCCACTCATCTCTGGCAAGTATGTCCAGTTTATTTTGTGAAATATCCAGTTAAATTCCCAGTGACAGAAATGCAGGGATAGACAAAAAACACAAGACTACAAAAAAGCAGAAGGGAACTATCAAGTGATCCTACAGCAGGTGGTACCACCTCAGATGAGCACTGGCCATCAAGGCAGTCAGTGTTCCTCTGAAGAAAAGCCTCTGCAGATTTTTCAGCAACTTGCTGCAAAACCTTTGAAATACCAGTCAACCAAAACTAACATGGATAGGGAAAACGAACAGGGGAGTGATGCCCATGCTTTGTGCCAATACCCGGAACCAAGCCTGAAACTTGAATGATGTAAGATTATCCCAGTTATCCAATCCCTGATGAAAAACATGCCAGAGGTTACCTTTGTGACAGTCAGCTATACCCACCTCTCCTCTAGGAGATATGATACCAGTAACCTTCATTTAAAACCAGAACCTGGGGTCAGATAGCACTTTTATGGGCTTTGAGAGAGATCTCAACAAGCGACTATCAATTTAATAACACACAGAAAAGGCTGAGGCCTGCATCCTCCAAACAGGATTGCAATAGTCAAAACACAACAGGGCTCCAAGTCTTTCCTCCTTAAAATCCAGTTATTTGCTGGGACGTTGCTGAATTCATAGCTACAGCACACAAGTACCAATTACCATGATATAAGGATTCCCAAAACTCTCCTTCACAGGTATTTCTCATGCAGGTAAAAGATGCGGCATACACACAAGTTGTATGGATACACAAGTTGTGTACTTTTACCAGAATCAGACTGCCATACATTTATAAGCAAGTTCCTTATAGAATTCTGTTTCTTGGTTTTGCTTTGTTTCCTTGTTTTCATGCTTGAGTTTGTGTTGTTGTCACGGTCTTTTTGATTGGGGGAGCGGGGGTGGGGTAGGGGGGAATGGGTGTGTCTCTTTTCTTCCATTAATGCTAAATAAATCTATCTGTTCCATCCCCAAACGTCTCCCAAGTGGTTCTCTCATCACTAAAACATTGTCAGTAAAACAGCAAAACTGGTGCTGGAAAATAGTTCCAGACACTGTGCTGTGGAGTGTAAGAGAATCTGGTACTACTTCTATTCTGTGTCAACAAGTAAATCCATTTTATTTTGCAATTAAATTAAATAACATCATTTGAGGGAGGTCGCATAAATATGACTGTACTATTCAATCCTCTCAAAGGCAAAACTTTTCCTGTGAGTCACCATTTCTTTGTGTCTTGCAGCTAACCAATCCCTTCCCTTCTTCTAGTGCAGTTTTTCCATTGAAGTTAAACTCATTATGACTTCCTCTAGATGAGCCTTTTGTGATCCATCTTTTCTCTCAGGTTTCTCCCCGGTTTCTTTTCTGCCTGCTGCTTTGCAAGTGCCTCTTTTGTGCCTCTAGCTGGACATAACTCCTTGCTCCAACCCCTGCTCCTCACAAAAGAGGGACATGCTTCCCTCGCTGCCTCAGCAACACAGCCAATTCCCACAGGCCAAGCAGCTGTGGCCAAGGTCAGCCCTCTGCACCCACAGGACTACTGATGTGTGTTTAAGTTACTTACATGCTTATATATCTAGCAAGAATTTGAAAAATATTAGTAGGTATCTTTGAGGCTGGAAAGATCTACCAGATGCAAGATTCAACAACATAGAATCAGTCATGAGAGACAAGTGAAGTCTTCACTAGCAGGATCAAAGAAAAGTGTCTGTATTATATGGCAGCTGCCAGAAATGATTCCTGTACCTCTGCAAGAATGCTGGGAAAATATTAGCTCTTGTGTAGGTAGAAACACCAAAGATCACCTTAATGAAGGACAAATTAACTAGTTCAGCTTTAACACACCTTTTTTATGAAACAAACTCAGAACACCAATCACAGCCTGATTAGTGTTGCAATTAAAACCTTAAATACAAAGATCTTCTAGCACCTCACATTTTCCCCCTTGTTTTGGCTGGAGCTTTGCCTCCTCATTTATTGATACATCTTTTTCCAACCTGACTTTCTGATTTCCTTCCACTGAAGTCATACCATGAGAGCTAAGGGGCAACATGAGCTCACAAAAGGAAGATGCAAAAAAAGATCATTAGGCATTCAGGACTTACTCATTTAAAGATGGGAATGCAAATCACAAGATTTTAATAGACTGTTTATATCCTAAAAATCCACTTTCTCTTAAAGCTAAAGGACAGATAAATACAAATATAAATCTCTCAGGTGTAATTCCATATCCAGAATAAGTCAGTAACCCAAAATTGTTCTTCTAAATCTAAGAATTTCTCAGATGGAAAGTGATCTTAAAACAAGCCCTAGATTCTTGACACAATACTAGATTCTTGACTTAATGACCAGTCTAGCATGAACACCTGGAGGCCAGAGACCACTTCCAGGTGTCTTAAGTCCTCTACAATCCCTTCCTCAAGAGGCCCTATTGACCAGGGCCCTCTCTTCCACTCTAAATGCAGTCTTACAGGCCACAATCAACACCACAGACTCTGTAGGAATAGCTACTAGACCAAAGGCCTCAAAAAAATAAGGAAAATAAATAAACATGAGTAAAGCCCAACAAGCTACACAACAACATTCTGTTTTCAAAGGCAGGGTAATTAGGAAGAGGAACAAAGGCCACATCCTGCAGCTCAGTTTTAGTTTCCTATCTCTTCTTTATCTGTTTTCATATTTTAACACAGTAACACCTACTTAATTCATGTGCAGACACACATTACGGAAGTTCTATAGGCTCTGGGCCTCTCAGTGCTCCTGGACAAGTCAGACTCGTTACCTCCAGGATAAACACACCTTTCTGTCTGCTTTAAAAACCCTGTTGCAACTTCTTCAGTGGTGCACAGAATCCCAGAATCACAGACTGGTTTAGGTTGGAAAGGACCTTAACCACCATCCAATTACACCCCCCTGTCAAGGAGGGGAACCTTCTACTACACAAGGTTGCTCCAAATCTCATGGATGTCTGACCTTAAACATTTCCAGGGATGGGGAACCCACCACTATGCTGTATTTCTTTGTCAAGACTGT